CTCGAAGAAAAAAGTGAGAAAATTGATTTTGACTAGGGTCGCCCCTAGTCCAAAATTGAAAATGTATTTCCTACTTGATTCTTTGCTCAAAAAAATTTTAAGATGTTTTATTTGTATTTGTTTTAAGCATTAGCATATTTATGCAAAGTTTCAATCCATTTGGATAAACCCTCAAAGAAAAAAGTGACAAAATTGATTTTGACTAGGGTCGCCCCTAGTCCAAAATTGAAAATTGATTTCTATGGTGTACTTTTGTCAAAAAAATTTTTTGGATGTTTTATTTGAATTGACATAATTCTGACACAAATCACATACCAATATTACTTTTTGTAATGCATAGCTTAAAAAAATCGAAATCTAAAATTTCGACTACCCCATCTGAATTTTGTTCATACTCTTCACTTTGGAAACCAAAAAACAAATTCTTTATCTTAAAACACTTGACAAAATAGCGACATAATTCAGGATTAATTACTTTTTAATAATATTTTAACATTTACGTAGAAATGTGGTTCAAATAAGTGTGAAGTATGGCCGAGATTTGGACCAAAATCAGCTATACTGGTTCATAGTATTCCCGAGTGTGACAAAATTCAAATTAAGTGTTTTTGTAGCTGACATAATTATGACATAAATTAGGTATAACTTTTGAACTGTGTCGATATGGGTCTCAGCCGTACTTCACGCCCACATGCTTTACTATGATTCTGTGCATTATATTTTGTAAGCATGTAAGTATAGGTAGCTCAGAATTTAACGATAGCTAGTTTATGCAGTTTAGTTTTATCATATCACTTACGTATACGATACTTGTAATACTTAGTAATATTTTTTTATGTATGAAAAGTGTCAAGCACAAGTTTGAGCGGTTTGTCCTTCAAATTAGTATATTGGGTAGAAACTTAATGCGGATATATTCACACCGTGCCATCAAAAGTCTTATGAATTGACCAAGATTTGCTCAGCATAAGTTTGAAGGTACAAAGCAAGCGTGTCAGCTGAGCTTTGCTCAGTATATGTTTGAAGGTGTTCAAACTGAAAGTCTCAATATAAAAATTCCGATTTATGTCTCCGAGAAATTGTCAAAAAATAGAAATTTCTCTTCAATTGAATAAATGTAAACAAAACTGGTAACGAGCTTTTTTTGAAAGCCAATAACTTCTTAATTGTTGAAGATGTCTCTACAAAAATTGGTCAAAAAAATATGAATTTATCAAATTTTCTGAAAATATTTTTACTTATTTTTTAAAATTAACTCCTGTTTGAGAATTTGATCATTTATGTCGAATATAAAAGTTGGTGCGACAAAAAATAAAAATTGGTGCGACATTACAAGTAGACAACCAAAGTAAATCTCATTTTTTATCATTTATTGATCACATTTTATGCCAAATTGGCTTCAAAGAAATTAGGCATGCTTTGTTTCGTTCAGTTTGGTCACTATGAGGCTGAATTGGCATCAAAAATTAGTAAAATTAAAGATTTTTTTTTTTTCTCCTAATTGATGATGTCGCACCAATTTTCATATTTTGTCGCACCAATTATTAAATTTGACATAAATGACTGAATTCTGAAGCAGTACAGACTTTTAAAAAGTAAAAGAAAATATTTTCTGAAATTTTGGACAATTCATTATTTTTTAAATGGTTTTTGATTAAATATCGTGCATCAGCTAGAAATTTATGCGGCTTTAAATTTTTTTTTCCATTTCGCACTAATTCACATATTTTTTACACTATGTGGCATTGTATCATAGAAAACTTTTACAGCTATTTATCGTAACAGGTTGATTTTAAGTTGACCTGCAAATATTTAATCACTTAAATACACTTATCAGCGTAACTCCAATTTCCCTAAATTTTAAATTTCTACTAATTAAAGTAAACTTGATTTAAAAATGTTTATTCATAAGTATTGAACGGAAGTGAATTAACTTAAAGGTATAGGTTATTTGAAGTTTTGAAGACATTAATTATGTATGAATTTAATTAATAAATGCTTCGATTCCTTTCCTAAAAAACGTTTGTTAAAAGTTCATTCATCAATTGACGTCCATCAAAATAGAAGATTTTTATGGAGTAAAATATAAATAACTGATATTAATATTAAAGCTAAGGTTTATATCTGTCATTAAAAAAAAAATTCAAAAAAAATTGGTGAAGGCAACAAAAAGTTCTGATAAATTGAAAATATTCAATTTTCGAGATCATCAAAATACATTTCGGGCTATATCCAGGGTTATATCTCTAGCACTGCTATAATAAAACTTTTGTTTTTTTCTTAAAACTGCAGAAGTCAACTTCTAAATAAAATAAAATCGCTTCTCAAATTTGGATATAGTTTTCATCTTTATAATGACCATGCTGCAAACTACCAAAAAAAAGGGGTTGTATCTAAAAATATATTTTAAGAGTTTAAGCTGCAGCCACTCATCGTCAATCGCACAAACCGAGTTACTATGACTAAAACATTGAAAAAGCACCCAAAATCCGACTAGAGATTCCCTGGGTTTGAGCCAAGAGCGTTACCAAAACTCTAATGACTACACCACTGCTGCTAAAACTTTTCTATCAGTCGGACAGAAAATATTTATCAATATTTATAAACAAAATTAAAATAAAAATAAAACTGGTATGTTTGCCCATTTTTTCAAAAACAAGAAAAATTCAAAACAATGAAAGGGAGAGAAATATCCAATATTATGAATTGATTGATTGATTGATTGATTGATTGAGTTTATTTGACCCTCTCGGGCAGTTAAGAAAATTATAAGAAAATTTTAACATTGTTTTTAACGGAAACTTTTGTGTAAACAAAAAAAAAATAGATACATTAAAATAGTGTTGATGAGTTTGAATAAAGTGCGTACACGCACAGTGAGGTAAGTAACAATGTAATAGTACAAATATGGATCTATAAGAAGCATTTAAACTAGAATATTAGACTAACAAAATTTAAACGTTGTAATATAAATTTGAATTTTCACATCTTTTTTGCATCTTATGGATTATGCTGATCTGAATAAGTTGTTTACGTCTAGTTGGTTACCCCTCAGGAATATTAATTTATTTTCTAAGAGAAAAATTTTAAGTTTACGTTTGAATGAGTTATAACTTTTTATCTCTCTTATTTCCAGTGGCAGTTGATTGTACACTCTAGGACCAAGGCAAACAAGATCATCAGCAAGCATATTCCGGAATCTGATAAATTTTAACTGATTTTTTCTACGTCCATCATTAATGACTTCAAAATCTTCAGAGTTCGTTAGGATATACTTCTTAATTAGCAGAAGCAAGTTCAGGTAAGCAATTCCTTTAACTGGTAAAACATTAACGGCTATTTCATTGTACAATTTTTCAGTTGGATATCTTCGCTCTAGTCCAAATGCTGTTTTCAGAGCTTTATTCTGGATAATCTGCAGCCTGTTAATATCCGTAACATTCATTCGACACATCAAAAAGCCGTTACAAAATAAGTGCGAGCCGATAAACGCGTTATAAAACTGCATTAGCGAGTAAGTTGGTAAGTACTTTTTAATAGTGTTCATTGCATTCATTGATTGAGAAATTTTTTTGACAAGATGATTTGTGTGTCCATTCATCCTTAAGTTGCTATCCACAATTACTCCTAAGTATTTAACTGACTCAACTTTTTCGATCCCATTGCCATTCATATATTCATCAAGATGTTTGTAGCCTGTAAATCCGAATGTCATGTACTTGGATTTATTTGCGTTTAGTTTGAGTCCATTACTTGCATAATAGTGTCTAATCTTATCAATGTCTTTCTTTATAGCTGTTGGAATTTCATCAAGTTGATCACAGACCAATATAAGAACAATATCGTCAGCGTACTTGATTATTGAGGATTTGGTTTCAATGAATTTTAGATCATAGAGCATTAACACAAACAACAGTGGGCCTAAACAGCTGCCTTGAGGAACTCCAAACAAAATTTCCGCGATTTCACTTAACACATCTCCAATTTTTACAAACTGCTGTCTGTTGGTAAGATAACTTCTTATTAAATCAAGTGCCTTTCCTCGTATACCCATTTTCTCTAGCTTAAAGAGCAGCACTTTGTGATCTATGCTGTCAAAGGCTTTTGATATGTCGAAAAACACAGCAACAATATATTTTTTCTTATCCAGTGCCTTAGAGATTGTGCTATAAAGTTTACATAATGCATCTTGCGTACCATAGTGTTTTCTGTATCCAAATTGGAGCTCATCAAACTGCTTAAATCGAGTAACGAATTGTTCAATTTTATCGTAGATTACTCGTTCAAAGACCTTATTGATAGTAGGAAGCAACGATATTCCTCTGTAATTCTCAACCTGCATTTTATTTCCATTCTTATGTATTGGTTTAATAGCAGCAATTTTTAGTATATCTGGATAGATTCCACTATCAAGCATTTCATTGATTAGAATAGTCAGAATCGGAGCTAGAATGTCAATATTTTCTTTCCAAACTTTGACAGGAAGTCCATCACTACCAACTGCTTTCTTTAGTGATAAGTCATTCATTAGCTCAAATATGTCGTTTTCTGTAACTCGACTCATTACGATGCTATTTACAAGTGGTTCACCTAGGTAATCCATTTCAATTATAGTAGATGTGTTATTAATTATCGTGTTGAACCTTATTTGAAAGACATTAGCAATTTTATTCTTGTCGAATATCACGTTTCCATTGTGCTGAATTACTAAATTTTCATCTTTCTTTGAGCGACCTGTTATTTCATTAATAATATTCCATGAAAATGATCTGTTATTTGCTATGATGTTAGAGTAGTAGATTTTTGCCTTCATCTCAGTATGTTTAATTAATATTTCTTCAAGATTTAACATTTTGGCCTCTAAAAGGCTTACTGCTTGGTTCCTATTCCTCCTTTTGCGTAATTTGTCATGTAAATTATTTATGCTATTAGTTAATCTCACATATTTTCTGTCAACATATGGAGGAACTTCATTCTCATATTTATGTCTTATTTTGTAGGTCACTCTAGCATTATCAGTCAGCGACTTAATCAATACAATTAGTTTAGAGAAGGCTGTATCGACATTTGGACAATTGTTGATGACATTCATAAGATCCGTCTTAGTTAATTCATCCCTTATTTGTGCGAAGTTTACTTTTGTGATTTCTGTATGCATCCAATTCGATTGGTGAGTAATCTTTTTAATAAGCACGATAAAATTATGATCAGAGAGTTTGTAATTTTTAGATGTAAAAATTCGAGCATCTGTATTCTCTTTCAACATAACATGATCCAAAAGTGAGCCAGAAGCAGGTCTCGTCACAAAGTTATTTGCTACAATATAGTCATTCATCGCCAATATGTCTCGATATTCATTGCATGCATTTTCATTCAAAATGTTGATGTTCATGTCACCCACAATCAGCAACTCACTGTTATCGCTCAAAAAATCATCAATAAATTCATAAAACACTGACAAATTCCCAGATGGAGGTCTATACACAGCAAGAATTTTTTGTCTTAGATTCAGAGATAGAACTTCGACAAGAATTGCTTCAATATGCTGGTTACAAGTCCTAGCGATGACATTTGCAGCAAACCATTTACGTATGTAGACAATAATTCCTCCTCCTTGAGATGTATTACGTGATACCATAAAACTATTGAAGTTCTTCAACTCATATAATTTAAATTCATCAAGTGCATTAACCCAAGATTCAGCTACAACAATGCAATCAATAATCTTATTTTTGTCACTCACCAGTTCAGTCAGTTGCGATTTAAAATTTGTAAATTTATTTAATGATTTTAATGATCTTACATTCCAAAACAAAAGTGAAAAATGTGGATCATTATTGGGATTTAAAATTTCCTTTTTTATTTGGCTTATGTCGCAACTATTAAAATTAATTATTTTTTTACTTTCACGGCAATGAACTATTTTTGATAACTGAGCTGGTGAGTCCTTATTTCATTGAGACTGTTCGTTAGTGGAAAGACGTTTTGCATCGTTATCACCTTCAAATTCTTCATTTTCTCTTCTTCTCTTTTGTTTAATTACAGGCTTTCTCTTATTATTCCAGAAATCATCATTGTACTTTTTAGAAACCGGAATATATGCATCAGTAACTTTCAACTCTTTCCTCAGATCATCGATTTCCTTCTCAGAAGTCACTGTGCTGGTTTTGACAGTTTCTTTTGTATCGTCTTCAATGTCCTTCACGTTATACGTGACAAGAATTCCTCGATCAGATCCACGAACATTAATTAAAGTTCCTTCATTCTTCAGTTCATAGCACATTCTTTTCAAATTCCAAACATTTTTGCTTGCAGGCATTTCCGCAAAGAATCTAATTGTATCCTGTTTACCAGCGCTTGAGAGGTTTTTGTTGTAATTAATCACTTGTGAGAAGATGCGTCCAGCAGTTAATGAATCAATAAATCGAGTCCTCAACATTCTAATCTGCCTACGTTTCCCATTTTTGAATCTACGGACAGTCATCAAGTGAGCATCAATGATATCTTTTGGTGGCACTATTTTCATTCCACTCAAAATTTCAGAAAATTTTTCTTTAGGTCCTGTAGTACCATTTTCAACGCAGTCACCATCACTTTCATCAACAAAGACAATATTGAGAAAATGACTATCAAAAGTACAGTTTTTTGTGACCTCCAATGATTGCACACGGTTTTTCATCATATCAAGTCCATCAGCCAAATTACCAACTCCCTTTGTCAAGTTATTTATGGATTTCCTGTTAGACTGGATATCGTCGGAGTCTTCATTCTGCTTGCTTATGAGTTCATTATGGCATTGAACAATTTTATCACTGTCCTCAACAACATTCTTAATATCACTCACCATATCAAGTAATATCTTTTTAATTTGCTCATCCTTAATTTTAGAAATATCATTAGTCCTTTCTTCTAGAGATTTTCTTCTAGCTTCCAAGACACTGACCATCTGAGGCAATTCTACCAATGCATCAATCATTGTGTCATTTGCTGCTGAGTCAAAAGAAGCTACTGATGAGAAGCTTTCATTATGGACATTTTGCGAAGTCTGCTGAGCCTTAAAGTAGTCTATAAGACTAGTTGATTGATTCTGCTCCTGATTTTTTAAATTTTTTATATTCTTTTGCTTGTTCCTCGGCGGTAATTGGCTATTAGCCGGAATAGTTTTACGTCCATGATGCATTTCGATCCAATTAATTAATTTTTTAACGACAGAAAAGATTTCAAATTATGTCAGTTTTCTCACATGGATTTCGCTTATGCTTTCTGATGTTTAAATATTAACGGTTCTATTTTAACAGTCACGTGTGTAATTACATCAGTTATTTTTGAATATATAAATAATCTGAACTTCACTCTTGTGAGAATTCTTTTTATAGTTTATTTAATCAATTCAATACTTTCAATCGCCAAGAGATGATAATACTCAGTTGATTCTTCTTGGGTAATAATGATTGATCTATTGAATAATGCACATTAACATGAAACAAGCCTGATTTAATAGATTAAATATCATAACAAAAATTAAATAGTGGTTATAATGCAATTTTATCTGAAGATCAGCAAGAGGTGATAATCTCTTTAGTTAAGAGTCATCTTGCGTAATGAGATCTAGAATAATGCACACTATCGATTTGATGTTGTCACCTATTAGATTAATTAAGTGCACTAATATGACATTTATTTATTTATTTTTTTTTATTATTTTTTTCTTTTTTTTTATGTTAGAACCAATTTATATTTAATTTAACGAAACTACGTTGCTTGCAGTCCAGATTTGTATCAAATATCAAACAATATAAGTTAAAGAATGAAATTTTGTAAAATTGATCATTAAGATCAGACAACAAACATTTTTAAAAACAATTTTTAAGTAAACACGTCTTGACAGATTAACTCTTGAATTGCTTATAGAACTGTCAATTTACTATCCCATTTCATTCTGAAAATCGATCGCAATTGAATTTTTTGTGTATTAGGGGATCGTCGAAAATGAATTCAACTTCAGCGATCTTAGTTTTTGCAATTTTCCTCTTCAACTATTAAGGATTCATAAAATATGTATAATATTGAAGGATTAAAGAAATCTCCAACTTCTTCATTTAAATAAAGATATTGTTACACATTACATCCTGGTTGGTGAGAAAATCTTATTTACAGCATGGTCGCTAATAATAATAAAATATCTTGTAAAAACTTATTGGAACATAGTTAAATTAGCAAAAAAAAAGATTTCAACGGTTTTTCTATATTTGAATTTTCTTACCGAAACTTTTTGTTGTTGATAAAAAAATCGAAATTGAATTATAATTCAAATATATTTGACAATCTAAGGTGGAAAAAATTTAAATATTTATTTACAGTTGAACTTAATTCTTTTTTTTTTTCGAATAGCCCCATTAATATACATATTTGACAAAATAAGGTCAATTAGCTCATTGATTGATTATAAAGTCTCTTTTTTCTTCACTCCTTTTTTATTCATTAAGATGATGTCACACGTTTATGTAAATATAGAGATACTTTAACCGTGTGATTCTTCTATGATCCGATTTTTTGCGCACTGTTGCATTTACGACTGAATTAAAAATGAAAACTTTAGTTTCACTTTTTATGTGAAAGTACTCGATTATTTGAGCGCAAAGCAAAAGACAAGACTGGAAAAACAACAGCAGAAGAAGTTTAATGGGGGGTGAAAATGCATTTTTCTTACTTTGTACATGGCATAATCCCACGGAAAATTGTCCTAATTCAGGCATTTGTCGCAAAATTTCTTCCGTTACTAAATGAACACCTCGGTGTTGAGGTCGAAGATTTATTTTTCGTTGGAACCAAGCAGATCCTATTTGTATTCCTGATCCACTTGTTCCACGGTGATTGGAATTTGATGCTGCCATTGCTTAATTATGTGTATCAAATGATAAAAAAAAATCCTTTTTCTATTATATCCTTTTTGTTTTTGATTATTTCTCTCCTCGCTCTCAAAATGTGTGTGTGTTCTTCCAAAAAAAAGTTCTTCTTCCTTCTCTCTCACACTTTTAACGCGTTCTCTCTCTCTCTCCCCCGCTCTCTCTCTCTCTCAACTTAAATTTTCTTCCTTATAATTATATTTTATTTTTTCTGAAGGTGGTTTTTTCTCAAGAAAATTTTCTCTTCAATGCAGACAATTGCAAACACCACACTATGAATTTTTATCTTTTATAAGTACACTTTTCATAAATATCGTTGGTCATTTGATAATCCATATAGCCAAAACTGTAATTGAATCGTTGTGAATTAGATAACAGCATTGATTTTCCAGCATGATTTTTCCATCATTTTTCACATTTTCATTTTTTTTTCTTTTCTTCTTTGCTTATTTTTTTTTCTTTAAATAAAGAGAGAGAAAACGCGACACACTTTTTTGTATTTGATTTATAGATTTAAATCACAAGATATAAAGAATTTGTTTTACTATTTTTTCTTCACTTTCATAATTTATTTTTTATTTTATATAATCAATTCAAATAAATTAAATTTTAATTAGGCAAGAAAATTTTGATAAAAAAAAACACGATTTCCACAAAAATGATAGAATTTTTATATCCACCCTCGAATTTTTGTTTAAATTTTTTGAAATCTCAAAGTTTTCCACGCATTTTAATAAGTACTGCCAACACGTTACACATTTTGTTAATTACTGCACATCTATTAAACATGAAATAACTACTAAATTTTAATAAATACGAGGGCTACTTCTGGCCCACGATTATTTTTTTTATAGAGATGTTCAGTGTTCAATATTTTTTCTTTTTACTTTTTCAAAAAAATGACGCACACAGCTATAGCGACCTTTATTCGAAAGAAGACTGCTCAATTTTAAATTTCAACGGATGCTCAACATCCCCCATTAAGGTGAGATTTTTCTTAAAAAAATTAACTTTAAATAAAAATATAAACAAATGTTTATTCAAAAGGCAATAATAATTTTATTTATGTGAAATTAGTTTTAATTGAAAAATTATATGTGTTGAAGAGTGCATGCTGTCGCGTTTTTTTAATGACAAATTGTCAACATGCCGTTTTCAAATGTGACATGCACGAGTATTGAATTTAATGAATTGTTTTTAATCGAAATTATTTTAAATGCATTATAAAGCCTATGAAATGTGATTTTTTAATAAGCCGTAAGATGATTTCATTTAAAATTATAACTAGAAGTTCAAAAGTTTATTAGAATATGTTCACAAACAAATACATACTCATTTTATTACTCATTCGACATAGAAAAAAGTGTAAAATTATTGTCGGCGAAAGGTAAATTCAACAAAATGAATGAATAATGTGATTGACACACCTTGATAATTTCTTTTATACGTATATAAAATTCAAAAGGGATTCTTTTCAACTTAGACTTATCTATGACATTGGACTCTCCTATACAGTTTGTTAAAGCATGATGGAAAAAAAGAGTGAGAGAGACTTGAAAAATTAATAATAAAAAAAAATATTCTATAAAATATTAGGGTAAACCATGTTGAAATTTGTGCAATGTTAAAATTTGTGCACTCATTTCAAAAATAATCACTTATAAACCCTTTATGCTAAACATTTGTATGCAGTTCTATGTAAAACTGATATCTTAATGTTTCCACATCATTTGGGAAAGTCTTGAAGCCTTAAGCAGCCTTAAATTTGAAAAATTTAAATTCCCATACAAAATGAAAGTTTTCACCTTTTTAATTATTTGGACACAAATAATGATTCTTCTTACCCCATCTGAGTTGAAAAACAAATTTTCTTTATTGCTTAATCGTTTAAAAAAGTTATTGCTTAAGGAAAGTTATTGGAAGTTATTTAAAAATTGATTTTAAAATCAGTGGTTTTCAAATGTTGAAATTTGTGCAAAATTTTTTGACAAATTTTTAAATTTGTGCGCTTTTTGTCGTAGAAAGCAATGGCACATTTTCTCAACAAAAATGATTATTTATATTCAAAAATCGGGTTTTTAAAGGCAAGCATGAGAATAAAGACAGAAATAACACCAAGAATACATGAGCTGAAAGGAATAAAAAATGTATTTGACTCAAAAATTTAAACACAATCAAGAAAATGAATCTGACTTCAAAAATTAAAATAGGAATCAAAAAACCATTTAAGAACTACGTTCTGTGTTCAGTCCCAAATAGATAATTAAATAAACATAATATAATTCGTTAAAATATTCTCCTTTTTTTTATTTTTTATAACATTTCTCACATTTCTGCAACATTCTATAAAATTTATGCTGAATAATTTTTGAAAAAATATTTATAGGATGTGCTTGGTTTTTGTTGCTCATACTTAGTCAACATAAATGCATATAAATATTGAATTCTGCCGTATCTCTTGATAAATAAATTTGAAAATCTTGAGAACAGTTCCTCTATGTAGCAGAGTACTTTAAAATTGTGATGGAGTTTATTTGGAAGTGTTCCTTGGAAGCAATCACGATTTAAAACCCTCGAAAATATTTTAAAAAAATTGTTTCATGAATTGAAATGTGTCATTGTTGCTGTCAAAAAACGCACAAATTTTAACATTTTTCGCACAAATTTTAAAATTTTCCGCAAAATTTTAACATTTGACCAAAAATGTCAAATTTCTCTTTCCATAAGCAGCATAGTCATCAAAAAAGATTAAAAACTGAAAATTCCAACAATTTTTGATCATTTAAGCCCAACAATAAATTTTTAAAGTAAGGCATTAAAAAGTTTCAAGCAAATGAAATCTTCAAGTGCAAAAACACACAAATTTCAACATGGTTTACCCTACATTGTTTTTCAACACACGAACACATTTTTAATTTTATTTTTTATTTCATCAAACAAACAACCCCAAGAATAAGAAATTCGTTCTCTAATTCTCGCAGTAAGGTAAATTTATTAAGTTTGAGTACGAAATAAAAGGAATTAAAAGTTGAAGAGATATTAGTCATTAATCAAGTCATTTCTTATTAGCAGCCGTTTTTGATTTCTAATCACATAGAATGCTCACTGTATTTAATATACATATATTTGGTCATATAAATAAAGAGATGGCAGTTCAATTTTCAAATATTATCAACACTACCATAAGAAATTTACTCGGAGAACAATGAAAATTTATCGTAGTGTACGTTTTGTTTGGGGCGATTTTGGGGTGATTTTCTCCGTATGACCACATATATATTGACTTTATCGACTAGCTCTAAGCCTTTAGTTGTGAGAGAGTAGTCTTTGGATAAAGAAGTGTTTAATTAAATTTTTCTTGTATAACACTGAATATAGGAAGTCTAATAGAAGTATAGCTATGGATGAAGACTTTCTTCGTGAGGTGAATAAAAATCATGAAAACTAAAATTGAAAATCTATTAATTTCCATTTTTGTGCTAACTTAAAATGAAAATGTGAAAAGAACACTCAATGGCTCGAGAAAGAAGTTGGAAATTTAGGCTTGCGATTATGGTACGTAACGAAAAAAAAGGTTTTTTTTTGGTAAACGTTAAAAAATAAATGTTCCTCAATATTTTATCTTCCTTTTTTATGTGCTTGTAATTTCTTTTCTTTTATATTATAACTTAGGCACGTTTTAGGCATCGTGTTTTTTAGTATCCTTGCCATTGGTAAATCATAATACATAAATATTACCTTGCTTTAAATATAATCATTTAATAAAAAATATTTCTTTCAGTTGTGCTACTTTGTTGCTGCTTTCGATTTCGTATACCGAGGTAAGTAGTTTTGTGACCAATTGATCTTTTCAATGAATCTTTTCTAATAAGAAACAGCATAAAATTAAGTAATTTTTTTTTGAATTTGTGAGTTATTTAAAACAGACATTTAGAGAAATTTATTCAAGATTCATAAAACTGCAAATGTGATTGATAAACATTATTAAAATTCATAAAAACTTTAAATATCAGGACAAAACAAGAAATTGAGGCAGACCACAACCGACGAAAGATTGTGAAAAAGTTTCGCAAGCGAATTCAAAAATTTGAGAATACGGAAATGGACGCAGAAATGGATCTGCGTAAAGGTAAGAATTTGAAATAAATGCTATAAAGTTATTTTAAAACTGAAACTCGCCGTAAACTAAGAACAATCTATTGATTCAGCACTTGAAAAAATTCGTGCAGATTTTATGAAGGATGCACACAAGTCATCTGATCACAGCAGTGGAAGTGAAAATGACGAGAGTAATTATGATGATAAGACAGGCGCGAGAAAGAAGAAATTGCAGACAATTCATAAAAAAGATCAATTGATTCAAACAATTTACACTGGAAGTTCTTACGACACAACAAACGCTTCATTGGAAGCCTCTGAAAATTAGAAATATGCAATAGATATTTATACTGCGAATAAAGTTTTTAGCCCTAAACAACTTTGAGCACTATTGATATGGCTAAACTACACTTTAGGGTGCTCATTTTTGTTTTATAAACATTTTTTAATCTGCACTCTTAAAAAAAAAGAAAAGAAACATTATAAACAAAAAAAATTATTTCATGCATAAAAACCACAAAATACAAAATACTAATTTTTGGGTGATTTCAGTTCATATAAAAAATTATATATTGGCCTACCCTGAAGTGTAGATTCAACATCGATTTTCATTTTTCACTCTCTATGCTTGTTTAGTTTAGATCTCGAAACTTAATTTTTTTTAAAAAAAAACGATATATATTGTTACATGCATTTCATTGATTTACAATTTTTAAGAGGGCTAGTCAGCGGTTATTACAACTTAATTATACATTTGAAATAATTTATTGATTTTTTTAATGCGTTGACACCCTAAATTATTTGATTGGTTTTGTCCTCAACGGATTGCCTATGTGCAACACTCTTACCACTACGCCACTGCAGCTTCGAAACTTACCAGTTTAAGAGTTTTTTTTTTCAATTCAGTTCTGGTGGAAGTCTTCTAAGGAATTTTCAAATGATACAAACAGCTTTGGTTTACTTTCTCATTTTCATTTTATTATTTTAGTTTTTATTAAATAAAAAAAGAAAAATATTAAACATAATCAAAATACTTTGTTTTAGCAAAATAAAAGGAAATTGCATTTAATAAAATTAAACTCTTTTAATAACATTCAACGATATGCTCGATTAATTTCTTCTTGTAAATGAAGTGGCTTCTTTATTTACGAGCAATTCGTGATGCCGCTTTAAATCACCCGAAACTCATAACCACCGAACAATCTTTTCCAAATCACCCGCTAAATGAAAATCACGGGATTTCATAAACACCGCTTGGAAATGTTAGCGGTGGTTTTGAAAAACAATGATTTTCAAATCCACCGCTAATAATTCCAAACGGTGGAAAAAATCACACGTGTGTTTATAATCACCGCCTGTATTTATAGGCGGTGGTTATGAGATCACGTGTGATTTATTTCACCCGAAATTTTCGACAATCGGGTGATTTGAAATGTCGTTATTATCGTCGTCGCTAATTATTTGGATCTCAAGAAGACTTTATATTCATAGGTAAAATCATTAAAAGTAGTAAACTTAATCAAAAAACAATATTAATTAATTATTTTAAGTGTTTTGATAACGTGATTACATGTAATAATGTAATGTCCGCTTAGAATTATTAGCGGTGTTTATGAAATCCCGTGATTTTCATTTAGCGGGTGATTTGGAAAAGATTGTTCGGTGGTTATGAGTTTCGGGTGATTTAAGCGTTATCGCAATTCGTGATCGATACTTCACTTAAATATGCGTTAGATTTAGGAATAAATTGAAAGCTTTTTAAATGTAGATGAAAAATGCCAATTTGTAATAAGATCGTAATCGACACAAAAATTAAGCTTTACTTTGTGGAATGCTGAAGAATTGTCTCTAAAAAGATGTATAAGCTTTTTGGAAGCATAACAGGAATCAATCTTCAATAATATTATCTATACGGATACTTAACATTATTTGCATCCGGTTTTAAGACAAAACTCTTCAGGATCTCTCTGAATCAAAAACTAACGCAATGTGCAGCACTTAAAAACAGAATCATCAAAATTTCCTGGAGCTTTAAATTATTATATTCACACCGTATTCACTTGTGAACGTTTTGTTTTTGTTCAGATTGAAAATTCTGTTAGGAAACGAAGCTAAAGCATGATTAAAAATGTTTTCAGGAGACATCGTAAAGACCTCTAGTTTTTTGCATTTGATCCGTGATGCTTGATAGAAGAGCTAAATTGTTTTTGGACAAGGTAAGAATAGAATATGGAAGAATGAATTGCTTCAAAAAAATGGCAAAAATCCTTCCTTTTTTACAAATTTTTAAAAACCAATGTTCAGAGCTGAAATTCAGCCATAAATTTAAAAAAAAATAAATTTAGAATATTTGGTCTATACTTCAAATTTTTTGAATGTTCAAACTTATTTTTTTTACCCGTCTAGCTTTAAACCTTCAAACATATACTGAGCGAAGTTCAGCTGACTTGTCAAGCTTTATCTTCTTTTCTTTTTTGCTTAGCGAAGCTTTGAATATATCCGCATTGGGTTTCTGCCCAATACAATAGTTTTAATAATTTTTTGCGCATTAATTTTTAATTAACAAGAATATTAGTGAGTCAGACTATGTGAAGGGCTATTTATTTTGCTTTTATAAAACTTTCAATCCATTCACATATTTTTGTTATGATTATACTTTCTACATGTTAATAGAATCTTGACATTTTTTAGACAAGAAATTTTCCGGAACAAAGGTTGACGATATTGAGAGCAAAATTTTTTTGTTTTTGCAAAAGAATCTTTTCGTTTTTATTAGATCCCACATGATCAAAGTTTTCCATCGACAATGAAGAAAAATTATGAGGAAAAAATTTCTGATTTTATGTGTTTAATGCGTTTAATGTAAAATATTTCGTTTCATTGTGATTTTGCGTTCTACACTTTATAAATTATCTCTATGTGAGAGTTAAAATTTTGTATTATTTTAATATGAAAGAAATCTATTTTACTTTTCTATTATTTTTAAAGTTTTTGAAACTTACGGCAGAGGTGAAGTTAATTTGTAAAACGATTATTGAATTTTCATTTTGTTGCTGATTCTAAGTCAGCTATGGGCATCAATCATTCTTTTCTAATGAACGTCTTTCCCCTAAAATAGATAAACAGAAATTTAATTCATCAAAAAAATTAAAAAAGTTCTTGTGTTATTGATCAAGGGAATCAGCGCATTTTTGACGTATTGATTAAGAAAAATCCAGAACAAAAATCCTGTTAAAATCGAGGACCCAAAGGAAACAACAAAATCTGGTTAAAGAGTACTCATCCGAACACACCAACAGACCCAGGTATGGGGACTCCAAAAATCGTGCATGAAAGAACTGAATGAAGTTATTAAAATGTAGTTTAAAATTTATTAATCAGTAAAAAGGAGCAAAAACTAGCATAAATTATTAAAAAAAAGAAGAAAGCAGTAAAATGCAGCAAAAAGCAGTAAATAATAGCAAAGAGCAGGATGCTGGGTTATAAGTCCAGAAAATCAAAGTCATTAAAGGTTTATAAGTCCAGAGACAAATCACACCTGGACTTAAAAACCTCACGTGCAGTTCATAAGTCCAGGTACAAATACAGCTGGAATTATAAACTGCACGAGAGGTTTTTAAGTTTAGGTACATTTTATATCTGGACTTATAAACCTTACGTGTGGTTTATAATTCCAGAAAATTTGTAAATTTTACTTATAATCTCCCAGTGTGATTATAAGTTCAGATACATTTTTCTGGAAAATTATTTGAAACTATTTCATTTCTTTTCTCTTTAGTAATTTTGAAAAATTATCCATTTGACAATATCTCTTTTTGTGGTTTATTGTTATGACAATCTACATTATAAAAGCCCAATTCACTGATTCACTGACTCTAGAACGGAAGCAATGTGAAGCCATTTGTGAAGCCAAAAATTTTAGAAGTGTTGACAAGGTGGTGGGTGTCAAGTGAGGGTTGGGTGTCAGGTGGGGATGGGGGGCAAGGGGGGTGTCAGGTATATTTTGTAAAGCCAATGATTTGAGGAGTGCTGACTAGGGATGGGGGGTAAAATCCCCGAAAGATATTAATTCCACGATCCTGCGGGATAATAACCCCGAAAATCGCAAATTTTTAAATGTTCCCTGCGAGATAATATTCCCACTTAGAAATACACGTGGAATTATTATCCTTCCGGGAAGATAATAATTCCACCTAGTATTACAAGTGGGATTTTTATCTCCCAGGTAGAAAAAAAATCCCACTTATTAATTTGTCAATTTCATTATTCCAAAAACTTAAATAAGAAAAGAAAGAAATAAAAGCCTAGAACCTAGATGTTTAATGTATCAAAGATCTATTCACTCAAAAAATCATATTCACACAAAATTTTCAATTTTTTGTTTTTGCAAATGAAGTCTTTCAAAATTTTAAACGTGCGGAACTAATAAATAACGTTTTTATCATTTTTGTCATTCGCAAAATTTGAGTTCACGTGATGCAGGGTTTTTTGCTTTTTTGGAAGCAATGGCTGTTTCTACCTTACCCAATAAAAAAATAAAGCCTTATCCTTTTAAACGCAGCAAGAATCAAAGGCAAGAATTAGAAGTCTTTGAGATGCCTCGTTATTGAGATTTTTGCTTATTTACTTGCCTTGATGCTTGTTTGCTTACGTATTATGTGATTTTCCCATCAATGCTACAGCCAATTTAAATTCTGTTTTTGACCATTTGCTTTTTTTCCTCAAAATGCGAAAAACTGTTTTTCAAGCTGAACAAAAATAAAGTGAATACGGTGTGAATATAAAATCAATTTTAGGATATAAAATTTTTTTTCTGACAGGTTTTATTTTAAGCTTTTTTTCAAAAGAGTTCAAGTTTGAAAGAACTTACAAAATATTACGTTTGAATTTTGTACGAATCACTTTAATTATTATTTGCTGAACATTTTCAATAAATTTGTGGTCATCAGTTTGTTTAAGTAACCCTGTATACCTGAATAATTAGAATAATTTCGAAATTTTGAGATTATAAACAATCAAATCTCTTAAATGGTCTAAAACCATTGGAAACCTTTTTGGGGCTTGTAGACACGGTTAAACAGCATCAGAACTGCCATCATTTTAAAATTCTAGTTAATTTAATAAGAATTTGAGCAACAAAATTTTAATTTTATTTTCTTTTTATGTTTAAATCTTTACATTTTTCTTAGCAAAATGTGTAAACAAATATTATGATTAGATTTACAAATCTAATTTTGTTAAGGGCAATTTACAATTCTTTGAATGACTTTTTGAAAATTTCAGGAAATAATCGAAAATTTATTATTTTGCTCATTAGAGGTCCTGATTTAATATTTCTAATCGATGTAAATAACTCGATGACAGAAATCCATTCCATTTTCATCATTCGAAGAATTGAAAATTAAAGAAAACTGTTGAAATTAGTATTAAATAACAACTGCTGAGTTGTAAAACAGACAAAAATCTACAATTAAGTAGTTTTTCTGTATGCTTTAAGTCATTAAATAATGAAATGTTTCAATTATTTTAAAAAAATATCATGTGTCATCGAGTTATTAAAAAGCTTTTGTTGTCCTAATCCGTGAAAAAATACAAAATTTTAAAACAAATATTTTTAATTTTTCACTTAATTTTGTTGAATTTTCAACATTTTAATAGATCTAAAGAATTAATTGTCGTTATTATCTCCGAAAGTTCTAGATTAATTATCCTTTACAGTAATATGAAATTAATGAAAACATTTTTTTTAAACATAACTCATTGAATTTGGATTATGAAAGCTTTGGATTATGGAACCATGATAAATAAACTATTTTTCTTAGACTGAGAAATTTAAAAATGTTTATCGAGATTTTTTCATGGGGAAAGAACTTGTGGTTAAAAGCGGTTAAATACGGTGAAAAGCGGTTAAATGCGGTGAAACACGGTGAAATGTGTTTAAACACGGTTAAAAGCGGTAAAAGGCGGTTAAATACGGTAAATGTACAAATATTATAAAAACAATGAATTTAAGGCAAATGTAAAGAACAAAACGTTGTAAAAATTTTTTTATTTAAATTTTATTTAAATTTTACTCATCTTCAAAAGAATTAATGAAACTAGCTATGTGTTGCTGCGAAAAATCTACATTAAAATTTACATGACACTTGTAGTTTTAACGGTTTTAACTCAAAAAATTTAACAATGTCCATTACAACTCTACGTCCATTCTCAATGAAATATAAAGAATTCAGCATTACAGCAATGTTGTCACATTGTTCAATTTCTACAAAATCTTAATAAAAAGTTGATTTACTTTTCGACCGAATATGAAGACATTTAAAGTTTAAAACTTTTCCAAAGAGTATATTTCCTTTATCAAACATTAAAATATTGTCACCTTTTACAACTTTAGTGGCTATCCAAAAGTCTTCGTTTTGATTTTGTTCTGTACTTATGTGTATCGTTCTACGAGGAACAAAAAGCTGCCAGATATCGGTGTTAACGTGAATTTTGTTATTTTCTAGCATCCAAATTAATTGATCTTTGATGATCTTTGATGATTTTAGTAAAATTACCCTCTTTAATTGAAATATATCTATCGTCAGATCTTGTACTTAAAAACTCGACATTTTGAAAAGAAAGGGTTTCATCGATCAACTCGGGTTCTTCATTATCCCATTCAGAAATAGTCCGGTTGGCAACAAAGTGTGTTCGAGACTGAATATTCTCACATATATTGCGTCTTCTAGAAGACTTTAACAAATCTCTTAAAGAAGTTTCTTGATGATAAATTCCAATTTCTCTTGCCTTTTCAATAGCTGCGAAGATTCCACTCTCGATGATAATATCAATTTCGTTCGAAATGTCATCATTGGCTCGTCTGTGTCTCTCTTGACGTTGCTCAATAACGGGAAATGAAATTTCATCCTTTAGCTCGAACATTATTCGTTCACACAGTTCTTTTTTGTGTAAACGAGATAGGAACATTTTAGGTGTGCAGTTAATTTGCGTACTTTGAACACCAGTTAAAGAGCGAACATGTCTAAATTCACTTTCACACTGTTGCGAAGAATTCTCAGATATGTTGTGAGCTCGTTTGTCAATAACCAATCGTAAAAGCCATAATAAATTCATTTCGAGTCCTTCGTAGCAGCTTGGAGTGATGAAACTTTCACTTTGCATTCCTTTGTTAATGATATCTGTCTTCCATAGTCTTAAGAAACTAACCATATATACGGCATTAAATAAACGCTCAGAAATTGGTGTATCATGCTCCACAAATGATTTTAAACCACACTGAATCAACTCCAAATATAAAACCGTTCCTTGTGTATTTTCCATAGTCCGAAGGAGATCCAAAACACGTTCACTTGTAATTTTGTATAAACAGTCATAGTTCATGAAATCAGTTACATCCAAATCACTTTGTACTATTCCATGTAATGCCTTGTCAAATTTTTCATACATTATAATCAAATGATTGACAGTTATTATAAAATTACCAATACGCATGAGTCTTGAAAATTGATTCATAAGATTTTTCCATCTCTTGAGAATGTGAAACGTGTCCTGTGTGCCGAAATTTTCTGACATAAGATTACCACATAATTCAATCGATCCCTACATAGTCACTTCACCATAATTAATGAGTTTCTTTTGCGCATTAAACATTCGAGCATCCCCATCACTACCATATCCAAGAAAATTAATGCCGTAATTAATAAACTCTTCTTTCATATAGTTTATACGGTTCATGACGTCGATTGCTGTGAATGAGTTGTCTGTGAAATATGCTCCAAGAAGAAACGTCTTTGCAACAGGAATATTTGGCTGTGCAAGCAACACTTGAACATAGGACACCTTGTCATATTTTGTGATCGAATTATAATTATTACTGGCACTGTAATCTTTGTGAAAATTGACGAACGGCAATCCAGTTAAAGGATCAAATGGTGAATCTAAGCCAATCAGTGTATTAGTATCTGGACAAAATTCGACTTTACTTGTAATACGTGAGCCATCTTCGAAAACATGTATTTCAAACGGGTATTCGTGTGCTGTTAGATACTGGTGCAATTCATCGAATCTTAAAACGTTTCTTTTGACAATATTCAGCTCATTATTCATATACCTTTTCAGACCACTTAGCTCAGGCAATACCATATTGGCTTGAAGAAAGTTGTATAAAGATTTTCCTTCTCTTATGTACAGGTAAGAGGATATCTTCTTGACGGTATCGCTAAATCGGTTACCTTTGTAATGCAGCTGATTGTTTCTTACATTTTCCAATAAAATTTCAATAAAATTGTTTATTGGTAAACATCATTAAGGTGTCTTCACTTTACTAAAACTCTTTTAAAAATAACAAATCCGTTACAAATGTTTGATTTACTTTATATATTTTTTTTATATAAAGAATACATGGTTGACTATATAATTAACAAACGTGGTTAAACACGGTTAAATGCGGTAAAATGTGGTTAAATGCGGGAAAATTTCACAGTTCTTTCCCCTTGGATTTTTTAACAAAAAAAAATTGTCTGTTTATATGAACAGGCTAACACCAATTTCATGTCCATTTCGACTGAAATGGATGATTTGACTCCGAATTTCAAATAACATATCTACTCCTAAACATTTGAACAAAACTGTGATTTTTAAACAGTCGAATGAATGAAGCGAAACAAAATGGAATTAAAGCTACATTTTCTTTAAACATTCGAGCCTATGGTACGCCAACGAGTCCTTATTTTCGATATTGAATTTTTTGGGGACCTTATTTTCGAGCATAAGTTCAAATTTTTTTCACACGTTAAATTATTAATGTCTAATATCTCTAATTAATAGTTTAAATATTTGTTTTTCATCATCAAAATGTTAAACGAATCCACTCAAATGTAATGAATCATTACTGATTTACTAAACAATTAGTGCAAGTGCATTAATAACATTTTTATTTCCAATGTAAACAACAAAAAAAATTTATAATATTTTTGAAAAAAAAGCATTTTAAACTAATGTTTGCTGCATTTATCACCGATTAGACGATTAAATTAGTGTTAAAAGACATAGTAGAATGATTTAATTCTGTAATCATAAGTAAATTAAGTCAAAAATTGCGAAAAATTGAAATTTTCATAAAAAAAAGTTTTTCGAAATTGCGAAATTTTGTTCGAAAAACATTCGAAACGAGTTTGAATTTATTTCGAATCAACGTTGACAACGTCTCTTGGCACATCATAGATTCGAGCGAATCTCGAACATAATTTTATATGGAATAGCTAACATCTTTAGATCAGTTGAACCCAGAGGTCGAAGTCGATGAAGCAAACTCACTTCACTTCACTAAAATTTCAATCGGTTTCAAGTCAGCTCGAGTGAACTCATTTTTTTCGTGTTCACTCGAGTCGACTTTTAACCGAGTTGATTTTTTCATGTTCACTTTAGTCGACTTTTAACCGAGTTGATATTTTCGTGTTCACTTTAGTCGACTTGAAACCGACTTGTTTTCTTCGTGTTCACTCGAGTCAACTTTTAACCGAGTTGATTTTTTCGTGTTCACTTTAGTCGACTTGAAACCGACTTGAGTTCACTAAGAAAAAAAAAATGTAATATACCAAACTGATTTCTGCTAGTGCTTGTGAAGTATATGTGATTACATACAAAATTGCAGAATTTGTCCTTTTTTACTTTTCATAACCATAAAGCAAACTAAACGAATTAATTTAAAATATTTTTTAGATTTCATATATTTTATAAATGTTTTGCACTGTAGATTATTTTTCTGATTTGAAAATAATTTATTACGAACTGCTACAATTATGAATGAAATTATTTTAATTCACACCATATTTCCAAATTTGGTGAATATATTTTAATCTCATATTTATTTGTTTGACAACATTGATATATTGATAAGTGCACTGAATGAATCGTAAATTCTATTTTTCTTCTCACTTGTTTTTAATTTCACCATTAAATATAACACTTTTTTTTTAATTATAGAGTTAAATTTCTTTAAGGTACAAACATAAATAATGAAAAAAATTTAAAACTTGAATTATAATAAACTGGAAGTTTGAAAAATATTTTAAATTAATTCGTTTAGTTTGCTTTATGGTTATGAAAAGTAAAAAAAGGACAAATTCTGCAATTTTGTATGTAATCACATATACTTCACAAGCACTAGCAGAAATCAGTTTGGTATATTACATTTTTTTTTTTCCTTAGTGAACTCAAGTCGGTTTCAAGTCGACTAAAGTGAACACGAAAAAATCAACTCGGTTAAAAGTTGACTCGAGTGAACACGAAAAAATCAAGTCGGTTTCAAGTCGACTAAAGTGAACACGAAAATATCAACTCGGTTATAAGTCGACTAAAGTAAACATGAAAAAATCAACTCGGTTAAAAGTCGACTCGAGTGAACACGAAAAAAATGAGTTCACTCGAGCTGACTTGAAACCGATTGAAATTTTAGTGAAGTGAAGTGAAGTGAAACGACTTCACTTCACCAACTTCGACCTCTGGTTGAACCCACTTGAACCCACCTTGATTTTATTTTTTAAACAATTTGGAATAATATATTTCTAAAAAGCAAATATTCAACCAATATTTATGTTTTCTTCTTATTTAAGTTTTTGGAATAATGAAATTGACAAATTAATAAGTGGGATTTTTTTTGTATGAAAATCCTATTAGATAATAAATCCACTTATTAATACAAGTGGAATTATTATCCACTATGACAAATAAGTTTTTGGATTTAATTTAATCCATAATTTTAATCTTGTTCCATAAAGATAATAATCCCACTTAGAAATGTAAGTGAAATTATTATCTACCTGGGAGATAATAATCCCACTTGTAATTATAGGTGGGATTATTATCATCCCGGAAGGATAATAATTCCACGTGTATTTCTAAGTGAGAATATTATCCCGCAGGGAAAATTTAAAAATTTGCGATTTTCGGGGTTATTATCCCGCAGGATCGTGGAATTAATATCTTTCGGGGATTTTACCCCCCATCGAAAAGTGAAAAAAAAGAGTAATAAAGAGTAACAAAGAGCAGTAAAGAGGAGGCGAAATTACGACCTATTAAAAATTAGTAGCGAGAGTCGCAAAAAGAATAGGAAAAGTAGCAAATGCGTAGGAAAAAGTGAGTCAGAGTAAAGAGTCCCCACCCCTGGCACCAGACAAAGTGCATTATAACGCTACCTTTTAGAAACAAGTTTCAAAATGCGCTAAAAATTTTAGACTTACGTGATTGTTTTCTTTTCAATTGTTTTTTGTTCTGGTCTAGCACGGTTGAGAACTTTTAGGAAATCAGATGTTTTTGCACGCATTCTCGAATGAATGTAGGCCTTAGAACACTGAAATTAAATTGCAAACTCATATTATTTTTTTTTTTTTGTTAACTAAGCCAATTTTTTTTACAAATTTAATTTAAAATAACTATTTGTTCAAAACTATAAATACTCCACAAGAAAATGGTAAAACATATTAACCTTTATATGATAATGCAAGTAGTCACGGAACATATGAATTAAATTTATTGTATTATCACGAGTTTCTTTGTTGGTGTGTCGTGGAAAAAGTACTGAAATGAACAGCATTAGCGTATCTTAACGAGAGAAAAATAATGATGCTTACCAAAAGTCACATAACCGATATTATCGCCTATGCGAGCATCTGTATTTGCTAGTTCTAATGGTGGCTCGCGATGAGAGAAGAGAACTTGTGGAGCAGTATGTGAGGCTCTCCTTCCTTCACGAAGTTCTTGCATGAAAACTTTTCCCAAAATGACATCATCGTCATCCTTAAAAATCGTACTAAACACAACAGTGACACGATCTGGTTTTGCTTCCACATACATTGTCTCCTCATTACGATAATGAATAACAGCACGCTTGTCACCTTCTAATCCTTGCTCTTGGAAGTCAAAATACTTTTCGAATACGGATGCAAAACAATTACGTTTTAAGAGGCCGATTTTTTGAGCAATATCTTCATAGTTGTCGGGTATATTTTCTAAATCAATCAGGACTGATACATTGAAGCCATCTTCAGTATCGGTGAGCAAACTTCCATATTCTCGTTTTAATAATTCATCAGCTCCATGTTCTTGCAGCTCTTTGTAAAACTTTAACGATATACTTGTCTGTAAAAAAAAATATCATCGATATCAACATTTTAATTCATTTCGAAATTTGCTGATGTTAACTCACTCTAATTTTGGTTTTATCACCCTTAATATTAGAAATATGGAAAAGTACACCATCAAAATCGGCTACTGTGACATCAATCGATTCAGGTTTGTGGCTAAAAAGATAAGTTGATTAGGTTGAAACATTTATGATTTTCTCACGCCCTTATGATTTTGTTTTTAATTATTCCATTAAAATATTAATAATGTTTTACAATCCATAATGTTTTACAATTTTGATGGAGAAAAGAATAGAGTTTAATATCAGTGACTGTTATTTTCGTCTTTATCAACTTAAATATATATGCTAGGGAGAGATGATATCATTGGAAATCTTGGTATGTCGATGACTCACAATTATTATTTTTTCATTATTAATACAAAACTATTTATGTACATTATTTTCTTCTTTTTCCTGCAGTACATTATGCCTTTTTAATGCATAAGTTGATAAAAAAAATATTATCTACTCACTGACTGACGACAGAGCTATATATATTTATATATATATATATATGAGTGGAAAAGTTCCGATAAGATTACATTAATGAATCAAGACACTTTTAAGACAACTATTGATCCATTTGAAGAACATTCAAGACAAAACAGATTCACTCTGAGTTGGTGGCGAATTGTTCTGTTCTTGTTATGTAATTAACACTTTATAGTGTGTTGTGTGACACTCCCAAAATAATTTTTGAATCATAAAATAAATGATTTGAATGCATAACACATACTGTAATGTACACAACATATAAACAATTGGAATGAGACAAATTTTCATCTTTCACTCCTCATGTCGTCATAGCATGAATTAGATAAAATATGACTGACTACACAGGGTTCTGATAATTGCTGATAATGACTAATAAACTATAAAACATTGTTTTAATTTCATTTTACTCAGTCCGAGATTAGTTGTATTAAGCGAAAATACATTGAAAACGATGAAAACTGACGATTAAACTTAAGCAAAAACGCCGTAAATAAGAAGAAAATGATCAAAAAGGAAAATTGAAATCTTACCCAGCCAAAGCATTTTTAAACTTCAAAAGGAGTGTTTCTTCCACCGTTCGGTTATTAATTTCTAACAGAATCATCTTTTATATACACTTAATTCACTATCTATGATAAAAACATTGGCCAGACTATCCTTCTTGATCCGCAAAATATTAATTTTTGTATCTGTCACAATTTTTCACAATCGACTTCCACGCAAAATAGCTCACTAGCAATTTGAATATTAAAGATTCGTTTAAAATATAAAGTCTACTTTTAACAAAAGCACATTTTTATGTGGAAGTTTCATAAATTGATATTAATAAAAGTGAGAGAACCTTAATTAAACGTGATTTAAAGCCATATTACTAGGTAAGTAGTATTGCCCAACTACTCTTAACATCAAGATTTATCAATATGTATTTCTTAAGTCAACGATTATTTTGATATTTGAATTAAGTTGGCTAGTTTTTGGCGCGAAAATTTACAATCTCTACAGGTAAATTTTAAAATCCGCTTGAAAACATAATTAACATTCGCCTCATTGTTTTTTAAATTGTTTAAATATCAAGAACTATATCAATTAACTTAAAGAAATAAACAACAAATTATGGATTCTATAAATTCAATTTCAAAAGTGAGGAAGTAAGCCTTTTTAAGTTATTTATCATGCTAATAATCGATTGTTTCAGGGAACATTTCTGTTCGCAAACGGGATGGATTTAAAGCAGCTCAAAAGACAGAAACCTTCATCGTTCAGAAATGAGGAATACAGTCAAGAATGGTGCAACAGTTTTCAAAAAGTTTGGAAAATGATTGAGGCGAAAATAGAGAGAATCCAGTCAGAAAGCTATGAAAGAACACTATCTAGTTTACTGACGTACATTCGTGATGCAAATACAAACGATCCTAATCTTCAAACAGCTGTTCTTTTAACTGGCGTCAATCAAATTGATCATTTTAAACAGTTGGATTTACTGTCGCAGAAAATATCAAATAATTGCTTCTCGATGGTCTCAATTTTAAAGTCACGCGACTGTTCAAATAATATCAAATACACAATCGAATCTCTTGTTGGTGGATTAATTTATGGACACGTTAATAATGATGACAGTGAAAATATTCATTTAAAATTAAAGAAGAAGCAATTAACATTATCAGTTCTGGAAGCTTGGTACCATAATAGATTTGGAAGTGCTGAACACAAACCAAAATTAGTCATCATACTCGCTGATTTCGAACAATTTCCGACAAATATCTTGCAGGATTTTGTTAGCATATTATGTTCTTATTCATCACGATTGCCGTTAGTATTAATAATTGGATTAGCTACAGCATTTAAAACACTCCATAGTGTCCTTCCATTTCACATTACCAACAAGATTTCCGTCAATATTTTTCAAGCAGAATCTTCGTCCAGCATGCTCAATAGAATTTTGGATGAAGTAATTTTAACACATCACTGTCCATTCTTTTTGTCTGGAAAATCATTTAAAATTTTACTTGACATTTTCCTCTTTTACGATTATTCCTTACAAAGTTTTATTCAAGGATTTAAAGTTTTCATGCTAGAGCAATATTCTACGAACTTTTTTACTTCAATCTACACAATTGGTTCAGTCTATACAGGAATGTTTGAAAAAATAACACATGAAGACTGCGAATGGCTAAGACGAAATTGTTTGTCATTTAGAAGATATGTTGAAGCTCACGAGGATCCACAAACTCGCATTGATTTAATTACCAACGATGAAAAATTGAAACAATTTATACCAAAAAAGTCATGTAGAGCATTGCGATTCTATTTCCAGTTTTTCTGTTGCCTACGAATGCTTGCAGTATTAATTGAAGACTTGCCGAGAAACAATTTAGGAAAGCAATTAAGAGAACTTTATCCAATATGCGCAGAAACGGACATAACGAAGCTAGAAGAGTTTCAGAATTGCTTTAAACTTTTGAGATTCACCTCTAAAGATAAATTTCTAGCAAAATTGGATAAAATTATTAAAATTCTCAATGAATACATAAGTGACGAAATTCTTCATGAAAATCTGCGAAATAATTTCACTTGTGTTTGGGACAAATTGCTCAACTATCGAGTGAAAATTTTTGAGGCTGGAATGACACCTACAAAGAGTCCTGGAGAATCAAATGGTTCAACGATAACACAAAGTACTGCAAAAATAAACACAAAAGGTATTATTGGGAGGCATGAAATGCTACAAAAATTGAAAGAATCTGCAATGAATCAGCCTACAAAAATTGTTGTTGAGTATGAAAGGCTCTTATGTAAATGTCTTGATTACATTTATGAAGTTTTCGAGCGACATCTGATTCCACTTACCAAAGGCCCAGTACTGACAGAAATTTTCTTGTTTAGTGACTGCAATTCGGTCCGTCGCCATATTGTTGGTGCTCCAAGATCATCCATACACAACGCTTTAGTAAATCCACATCATTATCTACAGTGCAAATGCTGTGCGGTAAAGGAAAATGAACAAATTTTGTCAACAATGCCAGACATTTCTGTTGCTTACAAGCTTCATTTAGAATGCAACAAATTCATCAATCTCTTCGATTGGCTTCAATCATTTTCGATGGTAATTGAAAATAATAATGATGAAGAGGAAAACATTAGTCCAGAAATCCAGTAAGCATCTGACGGTTTTTAAAATTTCAAACCTCTACGATCTTTCGAAAATGAAGTGAACGAGAATGAACAACTTTCGTCAAGTTTTCTTGTTCAATTTTTTTAAAAAAATCCTTAGTTTTTCTAATGAAATTTCAATTCGATCTTTTCAGGGCTAAATTTACAAGATCTGTAGCTGAACTTCAATTTCTTGGTTTCATCAAACAGGCTAAACAAAAGACTGATCATGTTATGAGACTAACTTGGTAATCAAAAAATAAGCCAAGACTTTTAAACAAGGCGTGGACACTCAAAAATATGCTGGGATTATTCAGGATTATTGGAAAAAAAAATTATTCAAATATTTCGAATTTTTTGAGGAAATGAACTGTAAGAAATATGTTATTTGAAGCCATTGTGACTTAGGCTTACGTAAAGTAAGTGATTGTGGCTTACGTAAAGTTTAAACAATGTAAAAATATATCATTTTGAAGTGTTTGTCGAGTACCAAAATATAAATTTGATCATATACAATAATTTTTCATACAATTTTGACTGATTTATTTAAATAATCAGTTTCTGGAATAGGATTCGATCATTTTTTTAAAATCAATAGTGTTGTATGGCCAAGTAAATTCTGGGTTTTTTATCCTTCACAGTTAAAAATATTCAATATTGAATTTTCCTAAGCCATGTCATTTTTCAAAATGGTGGTTGGTTTTTTACCTTAGATCTGAAACTTTTTTAAACAATAACAATGATCTTATTTATCCACTAAAATAAGTATTGCTGATCTAGATTCAGTTCAACTCAATGATGTTACCAAATCTTATTATGTTAATACGAGGATGATATCCCGTAATCAATTCTTGCAGACTTTAGTATTTTCTGTTAAGTATAGTTTTGTTTTTGGATCTTTAAATATTATAAAGTTAGGAGACACACATGCTTTCTCGAAATTCCGGTACCGAATTTTCGGGATCAGGATCGGGATTGAAATTTTTCGGTCAGCGTTTACTGATACAACTACGGTTAAAAATCTGTGAAAGTTTCAGTAAGATTCATTGAGAATAACAAAAAATACAGTCGAAAATGTAAAATTTTAAAATAAGCTCGCCTCTTTTTTTGGTTAGTTGAGTTAAACTGAAAAATCCGGCTTCGATCTCTGGTTTATCTCCATAAAAGTCAATAATTTAACCATAGCCGTCATTATGCCTCATTACTGAGGACACTAATAGCTTTACTAGGTTTGTCGAATCAAAAACCTAGTTTGAAGAATTTTTTTGAGGAAATATGTATCGTTTGATTGATTTTTGGGCTAATATACGATTATTTTGATTAGAACACATAGTAAATTAATCAAATATAGCATTGAAAAGACATTTTAAATTGATCTTTGTAAGTTTTTGACTAGTGCACTAGATTTTGTCGATAAAAAAATCACTTTTTGACGTTTTAATTCAAGTTCATTACTTTAGTTCATTTTTATATTAATATTCTGAACTTAAAATGTATCCAACGATTTTTGGGGACATTATTCTTTTCAAAACTAGTCAAAATTTTAACATTTAAAAAATTTTAAGTTTGAAAATTTTAAAAATTATTTTAATAATCCCAAACCTGGGATTATTTGGGATTAATCCCAGTGTCCTCGCCTTTTAAATAAATTTTGCCGGTAATTTTATTCAAGCTAGGTATTTAATTTTTTGATACATTAATGCATTACACAAATAAAAGTTGGTTTGAAAAATAATTTTTGTCATAAAATCATAAAATTGAAATGTTCTTATCGTGTCAAATAAACTTACAAATTCTTATTGTATGTCAAGACATTTTCCAGTTCCAATCGCTTTTGATTGACTTTTGTGAAAAAGTAGCGTGAAACAGCTTCCTGCGTCCATGGTTGATAGTAGAATTCAGATCGACGTTCTTCTTCAGGATTCCCAACAACATCGGTCATTGTTTTCAAGTCACGCGACTGAGATACAATCCATTTATGGATGAATGTCTGTGGATCTTTTGCAAAGCTTAAGAAGAATTCTCGATTAGTCTTTAATTGATTAATTGTGTCGACAGTTTCATGAATTTTTGTATCAAGTCCTTGAATTTCAAGTTGACTTGCTGTACTTAACAAGAAACTGTTCATTTGATTCTTCAAAGTATCATCAACTTCCACATCGATGTCATAACATGCGGTCTGTTTATTTTCAGTTCCTCCTTCAACAGTAATGACATGATTGATGACAATCGGATCTGGTGGATGAAGTAAAGGATTTAAACGTTGTGGAATTTCAGCAAATTTCATTTTTGGACACCCAAAAATTTGCTCAAGATATTTATCGCATATAATATATTCACGTTCGTGAGCATCTTGTAGTTTGTGTGTTTTAATATACTGCCACAATGCAGAAATGATGACTGGACGAGTTTGTGTATGAACGCCCAATAAACGAGCAAGTCTTGGATCCAATTTAAATTGTAATGGCTGATAATCCAAAAGCAATAAAATTGTGCATCGAACGTTTTTGTCACCAGGACGTTTGACTTGAAATCCATCAGTTTCTTGTGTTGTATGCGTACGATGCCATTCCACTAGATGATTATCCGGACCATATAAATCTTTATCCAATTCAATTACGAGTGATTTAAAGAAGCTTGAAAACTTTCTCTTGATTTTATTTGGGTCATTCTTATTATCCTCCAACAAACGTCCTTCTACGCGTAATTCCCAAGATGCAATGGAACCTTCAACACTTTCGCTGTCTGCTACTGCTGGCTCCTTGGGTGGATAAAATGTATTTGAAATGAAAATTCTGAGTTTTCTCTTTTGTTTCATTGGACGTTTAAGGGCTTCCTGAATATCCAATCTTTTTCTCATTATTGTAGCATCCAATTTACGTTCAAAAGCAAGCAAATCCATATACGCTTGAGATTCAGGAACTAAATCGCGTACTTTTTGAGGTAAAATTTTGTCAGCAAGTTTCTTTTTCTTCTTAGCTGGTCCATAATTGTCAGACTTTTGAGGACCTGCATTCATTGGACGATCTGGACGCTTTCCAGGCGTCGATGGCATTTGTCGCTGGAAATTTGCATTTGGTAGTGGTCTTTGTTGAGCATTCGGTCCAGGCATTGGTGGAGGTGGAGTAAAATTCCTAGGCTGAAAATAAAAAAAAAATCAATTAGAAATGAAATACACAACAAAATTTTGCAAAAGATCCAGTTAAGAACTTCTTATTATAACATAATTAATATATTAAATAACTTTTGATGCGTATTTGATATGTCTAATAGAACTAGATTTGATCCTACAAAGTAGTAGCTTACTGGGAAATTCTGAAAATTGCTTGGAGGACGCTGTTGATTGAAATTCGGTCCAACATATCTTTGTTGAGGTGGAATTGGCGATCCTGCTGTAACATTCGGTGTTGGAAAGCGTTGAGACATGATTAGTCTATAAGAAGCACTGTCTCGTTCTTAACAAACTGCTTTTTTTTCACTAAGAATTTTTTCAGAAATAAAATGCTAAGGGGATTATCAACTTAATGGAAAACTTTCTCAAGAAGGGGAACATTCAACCTGTGGAAAGTTTTTAAATAAATTTTGAAATTAACGGTTTTATGCTATTATATATTTCGTACCATTCATACATTCTTCTTGCATTTCTAATGACTGAATACACGAGTCAAAAATGTTGAAAATCTCGTTATTAAAAGAATTCTCTAGTTACCAGTAAAATATTTTATTTACTTCAGTTTAATTATTGAACAAGAATTTTGGTTCATAATGTTATAAGCATCTTCTTCGTGGCTTTTCCCGACTTTTCTTTGAATTTATCATTGAAAAGAATTTCTTCTCATATCCATTAGATCCATCGACACCAACGAAAATCAGGTCTAATATTGAATCGATTATCAGGAGAATCTCAATAAAATCCAGGGCGGGCGTGAAGTACGGCCGAGACCCATATCGACACAGTTCAAGAGTTATACCTAATTTATGTCATAATTATGTCAAACAAAAACACTTAGTTTGAATTTTGTCACCCTTGGGAACACTATAAACCAGTATAGCTGATTTTGGTCCAAATCTCTGCCATACTTCACACTTATTTGAACCACATTTTCTCGTAAATGTTAAGACCAGTTAAGACTAGGGACGCCCCTAGTCCAAAATTGAAAATGTATTTCCTACTTGGTTCTTTGCTCAAAAAAATTTTAGGATGTTTTATTTTTATTTGTTTTAAACACTCAAATATTTATACAAAGTTTCAATTCATTTGGATAAACCCTCGAAGAAAAAAGTGACAAAATTGTTTTTGACTAGGGTCGCCCCAAGTTCAAATTTGAAAATGTATTTCCTCCTTAGTTCTTTGCTCAAAAAAAAATTTCAAATGTTTTATTTGTATTTGTTTTAAGCACCAAAATATTTATGCAAAGTTTCAATCCATTTGGATAAACCCTGGAAGAAAAAAAGTGACAAAATTGTTTTTGACTACGGTCGCCCCTAGTCCAAAATTGAAAATTTATTTCCTCCTTGGTTCTTTGTTCAAAAAATTTTTAGGATGTTTTGTTTGTATTTGTTTTTATCACTTAAACATGTATACAAAGTTTCAATCCATTTGGATAAACATTCGAAAAAAAAATAAAAAACTAGATTTTGACTAGACCTGTCCCAAGTTCATAATTGAAAATGTATTTCCTACTTGGTTCTTTGCTCAAAAAAATTTTAGGATGTTTTATTTGTATTTGTTTTAAGCACTAGAATATTTATGCAAAGTTTCAATCCATTTGGATAAACCCTCGAAGAAAAAAGTGACAAAATTGATTTTGACTAGGGTCGCCCCTATTCCAAAATTGAAAATGTATTTTCTACTTGGTTCTTTGCTCAAAAAAAATTTAGAATGTTTTATTTGTATTTGTTTCGAGTACTGGAGTATTTATGCAAAGTTTCAATCCATTTAGATAAACCCTCGAAGAAAAAAGTGACAAAATTGATTTTGACTAGGGTCGCCCCTATTCCAAAATTGAAAATGTATTTTCTACTTGGTTCTTTGCTCAAAAAAATTTTAGGATGTTTTATTTGTATTTGTTATAAGCTCTAGAATATTTTTGCAAAGTTTCAATCCATTTGGATAAACCTTCGAAGAAAAAAGTGATAAAATTGATTTTGACTAGGGTCGTCCCTATATGTATTTCCTACTTGTTTCTTTGCTCAAAAAAATTTTAAGATGTTTTATTTGTATTTGTTTTAAGCACTAGAATATTTATGCAAAGTGTCAATTCATTTGGATAGACCCGCGAAGAAAAAAGTGACAAAATTTATTTTGACTAGGGTCGCCCCTAGTCCAAAATTGAAAATGTATTTCCTACTTGGTTCTTTGCTCAAAAAAATTTTAAGATGTTTTATTTGTATTTGTTATAAGCACTTAAATATTTATGCAAAGTTTCAATCCATTGTGATAAACCCTCGAAGAAAAAAGTGACAAAATTGATTTTGACTAGGGTCGCCTCTAGTCCCAAATTGAAAATGTATTTCCTACTTGTTTCTCTGCTCAAAAAAATTTTAGGATGTTTTATTTGATTTTTTTTAAGCACTTGAATATTTATGCAAAGTTTCAATCCATTTAGATAAACCCTCGAAGAAGAAAGTGACAAAATTGATTTTGAGTAGGGTCGCCCCTAGTCCTAAATTGAAAATGTTCCTACTTGGTTCTTTGCTCAAAAAAATTTTAGGATGTTTTGTTTGTATTTGTTTTAAGCACTCAAATGTTTATACAAAGTTTCAATCCATTTGGATAAACATTCGAAAAAAAATAAAAAACTAGATTTTGACTAGATCTGTCCCAAGTTCATAATTGAAAATGTATTTTCTACTTGGTTCTTTGCTCAAAAAAAATTTAGAATGTTTGATTTGTATTTGTTTTTAGCACCAGAATATTTATGCAAAGTTTTAATCCATTTGGATAAACCCTCGAAGAAAAAAGTGACATAATTGATTTTGACTAGGGTCGCCCCTAGTCCAAAATTGAAAATGTTCCTACTTGGTTCTTTGCTCAAAAAAAATTTAGAATGTTTTATTTGTATTTGTTTTAAGCACTAGAATATTTATGCAAAGTTTCAATCCATTTGTATAAACCATCGAAGAAAATGTATTTCCTACTTGTTTCTTTGCTCAAAAAAATTTTAAGATGTTTTATTTGATTTTTTTTAAGCACTTGAATATTTATGCAAAGTTTTAATCCATTTAGATAAACCCTCGAAGAAAAAAGTGACAAAATTGATTTTGAGTAGGGTCGCCCCTAGTCCAAAATTGAAAATGTATTTCCTACTTGGTTCTTTGCTCAAAAAAATTTTAAGATATTTTATTTGTATTTGTTTTAAGCACTAGAATATTTATGCAAAGTTTCAATCCATTTGGATAAACCCTCGAAGAAAAAAGTGACATAATTGATTTTGACTAGGGTCGCCCCTAGTCCAAAATTGAAAATGTTCCTACTTGGTTCTTTGCTCAAAAAAATTTTAGGATGTTTTATTTGTATTTGTTATAAGCTCTAGAATATTTTTGCAAAGTTTCAATCCATTTAGATAAACCCTCGAAGAAAAAAGTGACAAAATTGATTTTGAGTAGGGTCGCCCCTATTCCAAAATTGAAAATGTATTTTCTACTTGGTTCTTTGCTCAAAAAAATTTTAAGATGTTTTATTTGTATTTGTTTTAAGCACTAGAATATTTATGCAAAGTGTCAATTCATTTGGATAGACCCGCGAAGAAAAAAGTGACAAAATTTATTTTGACTAGGGTCGCCCCTAGTCCAAAATTGAAAATGTATTTCCTACTTGGTTCTTTGCTCAAAAAAATTTTAAGATGTTTTATTTGTATTTGTTATAAGCACTTAAATATTTATGCAAAGTTTCAATCCATTGTGATAAACCCTCGAAGAAAAAAGTGACAAAATTGATTTTGACTAGGGTCGCCTCTAGTCCCAAATTGAAAATGTATTTCCTACTTGTTTCTCTGCTCAAAAAAATTTTAGGATGTTTTATTTGATTTTTTTTAAGCACTTGAATATTTATGCAAAGTTTCAATCCATTTAGATAAACCCTCGAAGAAGAAAGTGACAAAATTGATTTTGAGTAGGGTCGCCCCTAGTCCTAAATTGAAAATGTTCCTACTTGGTTCTTTGCTCAAAAAAATTTTAGGATGTTTTGTTTGTATTTGTTTTAAGCACTCAAATGTTTATACAAAGTTTCAATCCATTTGGATAAACATTCGAAAAAAAATAAAAAACTAGATTTTGACTAGATCTGTCCCAAGTTCATAATTGAAAATGTATTTCCTACTTGGTTCTTTGCTCAAAAAAAATTTAGAATGTTTGATTTGTATTTGTTTTTAGCACCAGAATATTTATGCAAAGTTTTAATCCATTTGGATAAACCCTCGAAGAAAAAAGTGACATAATTGATTTTGACTAGGGTCGCCCCTAGTCCAAAATTGAAAATGTTCCTACTTGGTTCTTTGCTCAAAAAAAATTTAGAATGTTTTATTTGTATTTGTTTTAAGCACTAGAATATTTATGCAAAGTTTCAATCCATTTGTATAAACCATCGAAGAAAATGTATTTCCTACTTGTTTCTTTGCTCAAAAAAATTTTAAGATGTTTTATTTGATTTTTTTTAAGCACTTGAATATTTATGCAAAGTTTTAATCCATTTAGATAAACCCTCGAAGAAAAAAGTGACAAAATTGATTTTGAGTAGGGTCGCCCCTAGTCCAAAATTGAAAATGTATTTCCTACTTGGTTCTTTGCTCAAAAAAATTTTAAGATATTTTATTTGTATTTGTTTTAAGCACTAGAATATTTATGCAAAGTTTCAATCCATTTGGATAAACCCTCGAAGAAAAAAGTGACATAATTGATTTTGACTAGGGTCGCCCCTAGTCCAAAATTGAAAATGTTCCTACTTGGTTCTTTGCTCAAAAAAAATTTAGAATGTTTTATTTGTATTTGTTTTAAGCACTAGAATATTTATGCAAAGTTTCAATCCATTTAGATAAACCCTCGAAGAAAAAAGTGACAAAATTGATTTTGAGTAGGGTCGCCCCTATTCCAAAATTGAAAATGTATTTTCTACTTGGTTCTTTGCTCAAAAAAAATTTAGAATGTTTTATTTGTATTTGTTTCGAGTACTAGAGTATTTATGCAAAGTTTCAATCCATTTAGATAAACCCTCGAAGAAAAAAAATGACAAAATTGATTTTGACTAGGGTCGCCCCTAGTCCAAAATTGAAAATGTATTTCCTACTTGGTTCTTTGCTCAAAAAAATTGTAGGATGTTTATTTTTTGTATTTGTTTTTAGCACCAGAATATTTATGCAAAGTTTTAATCCATTTGGATAAACCCTCGAAGAAAAAAGTGACAAAATTGATTTTGACTAGGGTCGCCCCTAGTCCAAAATTGAAAATGTAATTCCTACTTGGTTCTTTGCTCAAAAAAATTTTAAGATGTTTTATTTGCATTTGTTTTAAGCACTAAAATATT